GAGAGAAAGGGAGAGAGGGAGCTCCAGCAGGGAAGAGGGGTGGGTGGAGGGAGAGAGAGAATCCCAAGCATGACGCAGGGCTTGAACTGACAACCATGAGAGCGTGACCTGAGCTGAAATCAAGTCAGACGCATAACAGACTGAGCTGCCCAGGTGCCCCTAACTTCCTCTTAATCTTTAAAAACGTGTTTACATGTGTGTGTGTATGTACATAGAAGTTTCTAGCTGTTTATACAAATCAACGCTAACCATCATAATTAATATGAATAATCCACTTGGTCGTCACACACCCAAGCGACCACTCACCAGATGGCTCTTCGGACAAGTTTTTTTTTTTTTTTTTTTTTCAATTTAACCCTGACATGGGGCTTGAACTCAAGAACTGTGAGGTCATGACCTGAGCTGAAGTCGGTTGCTCAACCGACTGAGACCCCTAGGTGCCCTCCCCTTTTTTAATGTTTATTTATTTTTGGGAGAGCTCGAGAACGAGCAGGGTAGGGGCAGAGAGCGAGGGAGACAGAGAACCTGAAGCAGGCTCCAGGTTCTGAGCCGCTTGAACTCACGGAGTGCGAGATCATGACCTGAGCCAAAGTCAGACGCTTAACCGCTTAACGACTGAGCCACCCAGGCCGCCGCCGCCCCCGCCCCCACTTAATTTTAACCATTCTGATGGGGGCGGGGTCGATCGCTATCATTAGGGTCTTCGTTTGCATTTCCCTTAGGTCTATTGAGGTTGAATGCCTTTCAATGTGCTTATTGGCCATTCTCTTCTTTGAGGTGCCTTTTCCAGTCTTCGGCTTTCTTTCCACCAAGTGTTACCTTGTTTTAGTACATGCTTGCTGGAATTCCTTGCATGCCTTAACATTCCTTCTGAAAATAGGGATTTCAAAATATCCGTACTTTGAGTGCATATGCTCTCAGCTCGTAGCTTGCAGCTGCCCTTTTGCCTTCTGTGCCTTTTGTCTTCCTTTCTTTGGAGGAACCTAAGGTCCCGATTCAAAATCAAATTCAGGTTATCGGTTTTTACCTTTATGGCTACTACGTTATCTTGATTACTGCCAAGCAGTGGGGATAGTTGTGTTTCTTGTTGTTTGCTTTTGTGTGTGTTTTGTGTTCTTGTTTTTTTTTTTGTGGTGCCAGATAAATTTTTTAAAAAAAATTTTAAGTTTATTTTTCCCTTCATTTACATTATTTTTATTTATTTATGTATTTATTTAGTTTTTAATTTACATCCAAGTTAGTTAGCAGATAGTGCTCTACTGATTTTAGGAGTAGATTCCAGTGATTCAACCCTATGTATAACACCCAGTGCTCATCCCAACAAGTGTCCTCCCTTATGCCCTTTACCCATTTAGCCCATCCCCTCCACCCTCAACCACTCCAGCAACCCTGTTTTCCGTATTTAAGAATCTTTTATGTTTTGTCTTCCTTCTTGTTATTATTTTTGTTTCCCTTAAGTTCATCTGTTTTGTATCTTAAATTCCTCATATGAGTGAAGTCATATGATATTTGTCTTTCTCTGACTGGCTAATTTCACTTAGCATAATACACTCTAGTTCCATCCACGTAGTTGCAAATGGCAAGATTTCATTCTTTTTGATTGCCGAGTAATACTCTGTTGTATATATATACCACATCTTCTTTATCCATTCATCCATTGATGGACATTTGGGCTCTTTCCATACTTTGGCTATTGTTGATAGTGCTGCTATAAACATTGGGGTGCAGGTGTCCCTTCGAAACAGCACATCTGTATCCCTTGGATAAATGCCTAGTAGTGCAATTGCTGGGTCGTAGAGTAGTTCTATTTTTAATTTTTTGAGGAACCTCCATACTGTTTTCCCGAGTGGCTGCACCAGTTTGCAGTCCCACCAGTAGTGAAAAAGGGTTCCTCTTTCTCTGCATCCTCGCCAACATCTGTTGCTGCCTGAGTTGTTAATGTTAGCCATTCTGACAGGTGTGAGGTGGGATCTCATTGTGGTTTTGATTTGTATTTCCCTGATGATGATGTTGAGCATTTTTTCATGTCTGTTAGCCATCTGGATGTCTTTTTTTTTTTAATATGAAATTTATTGTCAAATTGGTTTCCGTACAACACCCAGTGCTCATCCCAACAGGTTATCTCCTCAATGCCCATCACCCACTTTCCCCTCCTTCCCACCTCTCCATTAACCCTCAGTTTATTCTCAGATTTTAAGAGTCTCTTATGGTTTGCCTCCCTCCCTCTCTGTAACTTTTTTCCCCTTCCCCATGGTCTTCTGTTAAGTTTCTCAGGATCCACATAAGAGTGAAAACATATGGTATCTGTCTTTCTCTGTATGACTTACTTCACTTAGCATTATATATCCTCCAGTTCCATCTATGTTGTTGCAAATGGCAAGATTTCATTCTTTCTCACTGCCAAGTAGTATTCCATTGTATATATAAACCAAAACTCTTTATCCATTCATCAGTTGATGGACATTTAGGCTCTTTCCATAATTTGGCTACAGTTGAAAGTGCTGCTATAAACATTGGGGTACAAGTGCCCCTAGGCATGAGCACTCCTGTATCCCTTGGGTAAATTCCTAGCAGTGCTA